TCCATTTTAATCTATCCGTACAAAATCACAGAAGTTATATTTATATAAAGAAAATATTTGTTCATAACCCATCCTAATGTAAAACAAGGTAATAAGACCAAATCCAAATAAATAAATAGTGTGTGACGTTTCAGTAACAGTGTTGTTACCATCTTCAGAGAAAAGTACTGAATCAATCACTGAAACGTCATACACTATTTATTTATTTGGATTTGGTCTTATTACCTTGTTTTATAATCTATAATCCAAATTGTGCCATATCCATCCTAATGTAAAAAGCTCTCAAACATCAATGTTCCAATAAAAACTGGTTACATATATGATATTCATTGTTGAGAGGAATTGATATAATTTGGCGTATTGGAGGACAAACTTTATCTGCCATACCATGTGTGTGATTCTTTAGAGGCTTATAAATGCAATGTCGTCTACCACATTCAAGCAAAATGAAAGTCATTCAGGAAATTTAGCATGTGATTTAAATGACAGCAAACACATTTACCAATCATTCTATGACCAAGGCAATTTGTATGACATAATGTGTTGAGGGGCATGTTAAAGTGAATCAACTTTAGATATTTATATTTTATTTATGATTTATGATCATTGTTGCGTTTTTAATTGTTAGAACAATGGTTCATTATTACGAGATTTGATAGAATAAAAAGGTCTTATCATTTTTATTATTTTGTCGTATGGTCATGAAATAAAAAGTTTATCTGCTAATAAAATGTGGGTTTATAGGTTCATTGTAATTATTATGATGTCATGATATTGCCTAAATGAAATATGAATTTTGATTTTGGTTCTGTATGAGATTATTTTGTAATTGTAGATAATAACAATGCCTAAATTGTAAAATTTACTAATTATTCCTTATGCCAAAACACAAATGTAGTGTAAAGTCTTTTATTGTTTGATATTTTCTATATTATATACAGACTAATTAATAACTATTTTTTCTTTATATATGTTTCCAAATGTCAATGATGTTACCACCCAATAATTAAATTACATTTAGGGCATGAATATTATTGAAAATAGATATCATACACCAAATTAATAATATAAAATTATCAACGGAAGAATTATAAAAACTTACCTATATTTAATAAAATGTGTAACTAATATAAAATATTAAAAATCATTTATCATAAAATCGCCATGCAAGCTTCTGAAAACATGTCAATATTGAGTAGACGACAGTAATAAAAAAAAATTATTCACACCACTTTTTAAATTATATAATAAAATTGACCTGTACTTTCAAAAAATTTTAAATAATATTAAAGGACAACAAATTGATTCTCAAATATTGTTTATATAAATTTATGAAAATTATATAGGTGCTATTTTATTATTTCACATAAGATTTTTTTTTCGAGATTCACAGATGCAATTAATGTTAACCAAATAAACAAATAGAGTAAATATCTTGTTTGTTTACAAATATAAATATTTAAATTTCTCGTTTTCGGTTTTAGCGATACATTTTAGTTTTTTCTTGAAATAGGTCTTAAGTGAAGTACATTTACAAAAATATGAATAATAATTATATTTAAATAAAACAACAGAAAAAAAAATTGGCCAGAAATCTAAACTATTTCAAAACTTAATTTCAAATTTAGATATATTTCTATATATAAGGTTAGAAATTTAATATTTTAAAGATGTTTGGTCTTAATTAATCAGAATAACTAGATTCATTTAATTAAGTTGATTTACTTATAAATTTTGAATCTTTTGTATCGGTTTGATTCATTTGGGTGTGATCTTGTTACCTTCAATTTAGATTAAATTTAGTTTTTATTTTCTATCAATATTATTAATTTGGATTGTGCATTTATTCTACTATTACAAATTATATACACGTGAAGGATGAATTTGAAAATATGTACCTTGTATACCCAAATGATCACATTAATTAGCCAATGTATATAGCTGAACTAAAAACTAAACTGATAAAGTACAATTTGGATTATAATCTATAATCCGAATTGTACCTTATCATTAACTTTTTTTTTTTTTTTTTGCTTTTCCCTAGTACATGTGGTACAGGCCATGATAATCACGGTGGGTAGTTAGCGACTGCTTTTTACTGTAAGCGCACGACATGTCTACACATGTGAAAGCAGTTCAACTTTGCACTTACAAATGTGCCAGAGCCTCGTTTGGTTACTTGCACTCGCTGGTGGGGTTGGACTTTTGCAAGAATCGGGGGGCCATTGGAGCATTTTTTTTTTATCAGAAAAAAAGTGTCCAATGCGGGAATCGAACCCGGGTCGTGTAGTGGCCGAAAACCAAACGGTTTAACCAATCTTCCACCGACCCCCCATCATTAACTAAAATAGTTAATCTCTAAAAATAGATGGCTTCTCCCATCAAAATAAACACCAGAAACTAGACACCATCTATTGACCATTTTTGCAATATAGCGGCCTCAGGTCGGTGACAAAGCCACAACACCAGCTTTGGCAAACTGAGAAGCGTTCACCTGGAGACCATGGTTTCAATCTAATGGCTCTCATCAGTCTAGGGTAGGCTTTGATTTGATCAGATTCACAATTTTTACAGGAAACCCAAGGCAATAAGACCAAATTCAAAATAAATAAATAATGTGTGACGTTTCGGCAACAGCGTTGTTACCATCATCAGACAAAAGTACTGAATGCTTCATCATTCATTCATCATCATCATTCAGCACTTTTGTCTGAAGATGGTAATGCTGTTATCGAAATGTCACACACTATTTTTTTTAGATTGGGTCTTATTACCTTGTGTTTATAATCTATAATATAGATTGTGACATCAATTTTGACAGGATTCAACTGGAGAGGCGATCCTATGTTTGTAAATTAATATCATCCCAGAAAAATTGTTTCCATTTACAAAATCGACTAGGCATAATTTGGATTATACATTAGAAGCACGAGGTAATAAGCCCAAATCTTAATAAATAAATTGTGTGTGACGTTTCAGTAACAGCATTGTTACCCTCTCTTTAGCCAAAAGTACTGAACTTTGAATAGTTTGTCACATGTAACTCCCAAGTTTATATCAAGTTTATATAGATGGAAACTTTCACCATTACAGAATATGATCATCTTATTTTTCTTATTATTTACAAGATAAGGCACAATTTGGATTATAGATTATACAAGAATGACATCCACGGCACCAATTTATAATTGTAACGAATAGTATTTGAATAAAAGCATTTAATCAGGTAAATCCCGGGCGTTGCCCGGGTCATTCGGCTAGTAGATTATAAACACAAGGTAATAAGACCAAATCCAAATAAATAAATAGTGTGTGACGAAGACTGAAGATGGTAACAACGCTGTTACTGAAACGTCACACACTATTTAATTATTTGGATTTGGTCTTATTATCTTGTTATTATTTATATAGTGTATTATTTATATGCATTTTGTGGTAAGGTGTGTGTGTATCCTACCAATTATTATTTATTTATTACATCTTGTTTATTAGCCATTATGGAACAGCTATAAAAGAATCATTAAGTCTAATGATACTGATAATGGCTCTTAGGCATGCCACCCTTCTGTGAATATTAAATTTGTCAACTTCAGCAGTCATTTCTCTCTGTTATGTCATTCAAGAAGTTCCAACTGAATTCTGTGTGTGAGCCGATATCTCTTTTGTGTTTTTTTGGTTAAATTAAAAGAATAGTGTTGGAATTTTGAACTCTTTTGATTAAATTAGCCAAAAAAAGAGAGAGTTTTGGAAATTTTAAGAGGATGTTGTTGTATGCAATCTGATTCTAGAAAGAACAAAATATAGGTAAGTTTCAACAATAAGATTGTTGCTTTATAGGCATTATCATTCTGTTATCATCATTATTCTCTCAGCATTACTAGTGACTCTTGTTGCTATAACCTTGTTGTGTTTTATTATAGCCATGCAGTTAAAAACTGACTTAAAACTTGGAATTTTATGATTATTATGTTTTAACCAACACAAGGTAATTAGACCAAATAAATAAAGAGTGTGTCAGTTGGATTGGGTCTTATTACCTTGCTTGTGTTTATAATCTATAATCCAAATTGTGCCTTATCATCTGTTTTAACTTTCCAGACTTAAGTCTGGTCATCTATGGACAATGAATTTCCAGAATGGTTGCAAGGTTTTCCCAATATGTACTAAGTGTCAACCTGCAACCACCAAAACACATTATTGACTGTATTGACTCATCCATTGATGAGCTCTACTCTTCCCCGGCAGACACCATCAAAAGTCTCAAGCTTTACAAGCTTGATACCTTAATATGATTGAGTGGAGTTAAGAAAGAAGAAGAAGATCTGTTTTAACCAAGTTATGCTGCTATAAAAGAGGATGTTTTAAGAAAATGTTATTGTATGTATTTCTGTGTTTTGTGACATATTGCTAAGATTTTTCTTTCCTTATAAAGTTGCAATCATTAGATAGAAAGTTATAGATCAAGTAGTTTATGTTGTTGTTTCTTATCCCCTTGTGTAAAGATTTCACGAATTCCATGAGTTCATGCTCCCAAGTAGTTTATATTTGTATGTAACTCTAGTGTGATAAAATTATTCATTCATAGTAATGATAAGGCACAATTTGGATTATCAACATATATAGTCACGACCGTCTTTCCACCGTCATGTCACGGATGTGCGCGCATCATCATTATGATCATTATCATTATCTAATGATAATAATAATAATTATTATTATTATATTATTATTATTAATATATATAGTCACGACCGTCTTTCCTCAATTCCTCATCGCTGTCACGGAATGCGCGCGCACAGGGAGGTCACGTGCTCGCCGGCAGCCAGCGGGCGCACGCCGCCAGCATTTCGTCATAGATTATAAACACAAGGTAATAAGGCCAAATAAAAAAATAGTGTGTGATAAGGCACAATTTGGATTATCTACTTATATAATTGCCTTATTCTGTCTGTGTGAAGTTCACGGATAGATTTTGGTCAGAATGGATAAAATAAAAAAAGTGTCAAGGGGATGGGAATCGAACCCACGACCTTCCGCTTACCGGGCAGATGCCATGACCACTAGGCTACCCTGGACATATTTTTCCGTTCACATTTTTATTTTTATATTTTCAAGACACACACAGTTTGGGGCGGGACGTTTTCATAAGAGAGACATCCACGGCGCCAATTTATAATTGTAACGTATAGTATTTTAATTAAAACATTTTTAAAATATATACGCACTCGGGTAAAACCCGGGCGTTGCCCGGGCCATTCGTCTAGTAGATTATAAACACAAGGTAATAAGACGAAATCTAAATAAATAAATAGTGTGTGACATTTCGGTAACAATGCTGTTACCATCTTCAGACAAAAGTTATAAATAATGATGATGAATGAATGATGAAGCATTCAGCACTTTTTGTCTGAAGATGGTAACAGCATTGTTACCGAAATGTCACACACTATTTATTTATTTGGATTTGGTCTTATTACCTTGTGTTTATAATCTATAATCTAAATTGATAAGGCACAATTTGGATTATATATTATAAACACAAGGTAATAAGACCAAATCCAAATAAATATATAGTGTGTGATGTTTCGGTGACAGCGTTGTTACCATCTTCATTCAGTACTTTTGTCTGAAGATGGTAACAATGCTGTTACCAAAACGTCACACACTATTTATTTATTTGGATTTGGTCTTATTACCTTGTGTTTATAATCTAAATTGTGCCTTATCCTTTTGTCTATGAGTGTTATATAATATATGAGATCAGTTCAATGAGCTGTGTTTGCTACAGGTTTCTGATGTCCTTCATATCAGAGAACTACTCTGATCAGCAGTACAAGCTGGCACTCCTCGGGGACAGTATGACTGGCAAGGTAAGTAACACCTGCTGTCAATCCTCTCAGTTTATTCAATAGAACTGTGGTGTCAATCAACCACAGAAATTAGGCTAATCTACTCATCTGCATCACCCATGAATAAAAGTCCTCAATCACTGCTGGCAAACTAGTAACAAACTCAGAACACAAAAATACTTTATATATATATAAGCCAATGCAGTATTTGAACCCAGGTAGTGGCTGCTGAAAAGTGATAGTTTATACCATTTCTCCACCAGCTTCTGTCAGAAAGCTCTGAAAGATGCTGCCCAGAGAGCTTCTGGACAAAAGTATCCAGGGCTAAAACAAAAAGTTAAAAAAGACCAAATCCAAATAAATTGCGTAATTTGGTAGAAGAGTTGGTACCATCATCTGACAAAAGACTGAAAAAAAAATTATATTTCTTTTTTTAGTCTTTTGTCTTTTGATTGATAAGGCACAATTTGGATTATAGATTATAAACACAAGGTAATAAGACCAAATCCAAATAAATAAATAGTGTGTGACATTTCGGTAACAGCGTTGTTATCATCTTCAGACAAAAGTACTGAATGGATAAAGTACTGGACAAAAGTACTGAAAGATTCAGTACTTTTGTCTGAAGATGGTAACAACACTGTTACCGAAACGTCACACACTATTTATTTATTTGGTCTTATTACCTTGTGTTTGTCTTTTGATGTTTACAACCTTGTTACTCAAACATTGAGCACTATTAATTTATTTGGATTTGGTCTTATTAACTTTTAGTTCTAATCTATAATCCAAATTGTGCCTTATCATCTGGGATTAAGTTTCTTTCACAAATTCATTTCTCTAGCTTTCTGACCAACGTGTCCTTCAACAGGAGCAACTATAACTTCTAGATAACTATACATGCTGAAAATTAAAGTTTGCTAGAAGTTATACCAAAGAAGTTTGTACTAGTTGCTCCAGGGCAAACATGCCCTAAAAGCTAAAGAAATAAAATTGTGCAAGAAACTTAGCCCTGGATTAAGAAAAAGACATCTGATCGTGCAATTAAAAGTTGCTGATGGCTTGTGCCATCTTTTGGAATAAATATTAATTAATCGTTAATTTTTAATTACTTCAGAATCAGCCAAATATTCTGGGATAATTGAAAAATCAACGTTTAGTTGATATTTATTCTGACAGATGCAAAAGTTGCAAAATCAGGAGATGTCTTTTTCTCTATTTATCCACCTGATCCCAGTACAATTTCACTTTTGTTCTATTTTTTTTTACTTAACCCTATGGATGCTTTTTAATACAGTAGAACCTCCCTGTAAAGGACAACACCTAATTGCAGAGGCAAAGTATCC